CTGAAGGATCGTGTTTGATCTACAGAAATGATTTACATATAAAGAATTAATTCTACTTCTCTCAGATTTTTCACTTGTTGCGTGACAAAAGGGAAAAGAACACTTACGTTTTAATAAATCTTGTCTTCTTTTTTAAAATAGCTCTCAAAAAGATTTGAGGAGAGAATAACTTAAGAAAAACATGTAATCGCTGCGCTAGTTTTGTTATATTTTATATTTTTTACAACTGTATTAACCTTAAGAAATCGTAGAAATTTATTTGTTGAATAGAAAGCAAAGAGTAAGAACAAGGTTCGACTTCAGCCAGAGAAAGGGCGAATTATCACAATTTAAGGGGCAAAACATAACATTTGAGAGCAAGCTGCTTGATAAATGGTCTAATTATCTGCTCGTCGATCCTCGATGACCGTTTCCCTTCGAGTGGAAGTCGTTCACATCGACCTTCCAGAGGCTCTCGAATAAGTACGATTCGCGAGATTATTGAACCCGATTCGAACAAGAAAACGAAATCACAGACATTGTCGCCTTGACCAAACGCGTAGGTCTATCATGTGCGTATTTATGAGTAAACAAATGAATAAAACATATAATTTAATTGAGAGCTAATTACAAGTCAAAATTGTAAAAATTAGAAATAAATAGTATCTGAATCTCGCGCTTTTACTCGAAGATTTTTATTCTTAAGTTATTAACTCATTAGCGGTCTTAAAGCGATTTTTCATTCATAATCCTTTTCAATCAATTCTCACGATCATGAGTTTTGTCTAATATTGTATAACAATATTCATTACGCTAGTAATGTTCAATATATTGTTTCATAATTATTCTTGTCCTTACATATTAACAAAAGTTTCCTTACAAAATTCTAAAAAGCTTTCCCACTACTGATAGAAACTAAGTACTGATTTATTTGTTGCGTTATCATCGCTGCGTCATTGTTTACCAGTCGCTTGAAAAATACAACAATTCTTTCCTCATTTACCGAGTCGTGTTTCCCTAAAAATATCTCAAGTTCGAGTAGAAAACTTTCTTAAAACGTTTTACGAGTGTAAAACTTTCTTAAAACGTCGAAAATTTTTTTCGTTCGTTGAGGTCTCGAGATAAGATCAGAGATCGATCGAAATATAAAATTTCAAGAATTTTCGCAGCGAAATTAATTTATGGTTGAAGAGTACTGGTTGACGATCTCGAAGCTCGGCCATTTGAGAACCGCGGTCGCATGGAGTGAAACTGATTAAGAGGTATTATTTTGCATCGCTATCGAGCAGGCTATGCACGCTTAAGGGTCAGAACAGGCCATCTTAAGTCACAGATAAATGGAAAAAATAAGGCAAGCGAACGCGAAGGGAGGGAAAGGTCGAATTACTCGAGTCTGTTCGAGGAATCTGTTTCGAAACCAGACATTTCGTGTGCCGATGATCGAACGATGGAAGAAAGTTGAACCGATACATGTGTATGTAGATAGAAATACATTTTCATCGAATAGCTGAAGAAAATGCACGATTCGAAACCGATAAATCAAAAGTTTTCTGTTTCTTTTATTCACGAATAAAATAAAGAAAAGACTATAGAAGTAATTTTATTACTGTTTATTATATCTCTTATCTACAATTTTTAAATATAAATTTTTATATAAATTTATAATAAATATAGATAGTGACAAAGATAAATAAAGTTTTCCAACTTTTTGCGATAAAAGATGGTGAGATTCTTTTTTTATGATAAAAAGAAAATCAAAGTCAAACAACTTCAGCTGGAAACAGTTTGCTTTTTATTGCTAATAACATTAGAGTCGAGGTCACTTTGATATTCCTATGAATAAATCAATAGAAGTCGAACAGAATAACATAAATGTTGCACAACAGAGAATATAATACGAATAGCGGTTATGTTATCTGTCCTAAACATGACAATTTTGAACTTTCACAGTGAAAAAGTAACGATATCTTCAAAGCAACAGAAAAAGCAAATATGCTTTTAAAAAGGAGAAGAAGGAGACAATTTATATGAATAATTAACTGTCCGTCGCAGTAATTTATTTTGGATTTATTTAATTTGTAGTCCATTTAATTCTCCAATTAGAAAGATGATTCACTTTGATCTTTATTGGTTAACTTTTCTAATAAACTGCCACTTGGTAATAAACCAATGGTTTAGCATTTAATAAACAGTTCATATTTGATTTTTTTCAACCAATAATTATACACATCAGTTTAAATATACAAACATATTTATAGAAATGAAGAATTACGAAAACAACTTAAGTCCGAATTAAAATGAAAGTCATGAAATCAAAATGTAAATATTGTAAGAAGCCGAATATCGAATCAAGAATAACCTTACGCAGTCATTTGCCTAATCGATACACAGGTATCCTTCATTTGATTTCGAGAGTGTGGCACGTTTCGAAGTATCAATTATCTGCGATATTGTAAATAAATGCATTAAAACTTAAATAAAATGACATTCGCGTATTAAAAATGATACATTATTCATAAAATATAGGAAAATTATTTAAATTTTTTAGATACAAGACGTTACAAATTTATTTCAAAATCGCAAAGTGTTATTCGTTACTTTTCATAATCAATTTCTCTTTCTAGCTAATTTTTAATCTTATCGATCTATTCGAATTTTGAAATTTGACGAACGTAACGCAAACGTCGCAGCCAGGTAAATACTTCCAGTTCAACCGCAAGAAATGAAAATAGAAAGCGTCATTGATCGCGAATCGCGAGCGACAAGTATCGTTACAGATAAAGACCTCTTGTTAAATTACACTAGTTTTAGATAAATCACGGAATTTGAGAAAGAAATTATCAACGGCCAACGCGAGAATAGAAGAGATAGGAATAATATCGGAATGGTAAATTTTCAACACGTATTTTTTATTTGCTCGATGTTCGAGGAAAAAAATTCCACTAGTCAATACACGACGATATTGATATCCTAAAATGACAAGAATTAATTCGAGAAATACAGATACTACAAACACGACATAATAGAAAAAATAAAGAGATTTAGTATGTACAAAATACAAGAAATAAAGGAAACAAAGAAATTTCTCCAATCTTCATCCGCCAATAAAAAAAGGAACGAGCGAGGTTACTCGAAAATTTAATCTATTTTAAGAAACTCGATGGCACACTTCATCGAACCTCGATCGGTGAACATTTGATGCACAAACGCACAAAAATAATGGCTTTATATCGAGGAAACATGGTCGATCGTGATAAGCGAACAAAGTACGCCGATTCGATGCAAACAACAATGAATGGTTTGAATCAATATTAACATATTGTATTATAGCACTTCCATTCAAACTCAACAACGATACATAACGATACCAACCAGCGGCGATGCTAAAATTTAAATGTATGCTTCGTTACGCGCCGGTTAAGATAAAGAATATATTTTTCTTCTTTTTATTATAATTGCTAATCGACAGATGACGCTGCACTTTTACAAACTATACGGAAATGGAACATTCAAATGTAACAATAAAATGTTAGGAACAAATGGACAATGTTCCTTTCTGCTATCTTTATTCTTTTGAACATTAAACTTGAACATGATGGTTCCAGCATTTCTCAATTTTCTCGACAATTTCAACGTCGCCTCATTTGTTATGCATACGTACCTCCGGATCGTACGTATATAAAAATCATGATTCATCAAAATATCATGTTATGTGCACGTTATTGCGATCTCGTGGTTCACTCGAGCGACGAAACCGTCCGTTTCGGTGCGTTCAATAATCCGGTAAGCGATATCGATCCAACGTTACGTCGTTGGGACATGAAAGGCAATGAACAGGAACGACGTGAAAAAGACAAAGACAAAGCGCATATGTGCCGTGTGCTTATGAAACAAGACGTATAAACGAAAAGAGACGCGGATGTAGACGGAGTTCGATTTCCGTATAAATCAAACTGTTAGCGTATCGTGCACGTTCTTATGTCCAAAATGGCTGGTCGCTAAAATTAGCGTCAGAGGCATACGAAACAATACCAGATAGGACATCGCTGATTACTACCATGCCCTGATTCCACTCACCTTGACGTCGAAGAAAAGTCATATAAAATGGTATCGCCCTGCTGGACGGCCGCCTTCTAGCGTGAAAATTGAACGGGTGTTCGTAGATGTATCGAGACAGATGGATCGCCCTGTCGGGTGCACCCCAGTGTCTCGTTTTACGTCTTTCTACGATGTCGGGCCTATGAAAGTTGGTCGTTGAAACGGTCAGTCGCGTAGACGTGATACCGTAACGATACTTCTGCTTGCTCTCTATCCCTTTTCTCGATAACAAGTATCCCTGTCGTCAAATGAGTCGGTTCTCCGCAAGGTTTACGTGCTTTGCGTAACTTTTTTATCGCTTAAAACGTGCACACGAAACGTTCCGGCTTCTGAGACGGCTACTGCCTGAATACAACTGCAAACGATCCTCGAAAGCAGGGCCGTAAACGTGACTCGCGATTCCCTGCGACTGATAGCGGTACCCCTACCTAATGACCTCATCAACGAATTGAGTCGGAAGAGGTAAATAAAACCACGTGATCGAAACTAGAGGAAACAGGGTCGAATCACAATTGAATTTAAATGGCAAACGATTTGAATAACGGAAAACTAAAAGACGATTCTTTTAATAGGAGGGAATGTAAATTCTATGTTAAATATAGATTTAAAGATTATAAACGCTGAAATTGTTTACTTTTGGGTTACTGTAAGAGAAATTTAAATTTGTAAGTATGAATTTAGACCATAACATTATAACGTATCAGTTGTTATAATACACAAGGTGTGGCACATCGTATGGCACGACCAGACAGGGAGTTGATTTTCGTACAAAATTGAATTGACGATATAAAATAAAATAATTAAAACTTTAGTTTCGAGGAAACTATATTTAAAAATTTATCGAATAATTCTAATTTTATATATAAATTATACGTATATAAATTAATTATTTTTAATATTAAATTTTTTAATTACTATCTAAGTTATCTAAGTTCAGAACTTATCAATGACATTAAATTTATTGTTCACTTTTTGGGAGTCATAATACTCGTCAGTTCCTTCGTAAGTAGTGTCGTCAAAATGAAATATATATAACATAGTTTATCAAAAAATTCACTTATCTTATTTCTAATATAGAAGTAAATATATATACATCTATATATTTCTGAATATTATATATTCTGATGCAATATTAGAAATTTCGATAATGCAGTTGTGTTAATCACCAACATAACCTCAATATTAGTGCAAGCAGTAATTGCACACGTGATGCGTCGTAGAAATCTTGTTATGATAATCAATAACTATTAATATTTGTAAATGTAATACATATATGCAGAGAATGTTATAATATATTTAATATTTAGCAACGAAATTTTCGACGATTAAGAATAGTAAAATTGTGAAGTTATTGACTTTAGTTTTGGTGAAACCTATTAGCAAAAATGTCTTCACCATTTACTTGTATCACATGCCGTGTAGTATTTAGAGATTTAGAAATACAAAGACAACATTACAAATCAGATTGGCATAGATACAATTTAAAGAGAAAAGTTGCTGAATTACCTCCTGTATCTGTGGAAGAATTTCAAATGAGAGTGATTGCGCAAAGAACCAAAGATGACAAAGAAAGAGAAGAGGAACTGATAAGTTGTAAAATGTGCAAAAAGAATTTCAGTACAAGAAATCAATATGAAAATCATTTATTATCAAAGAAACACAAGGAGAAATATGCAAAACAAAATGTTCCTTTTGAAAATGAAAGTAATGATGCTGGTCCAGCATTTGACTCTGTAATTAAGAAAAATGAAGAAGTTTCCGTGAAACAATTGACAGAAGATATGGAAATAAATTCTGATATTGAATCTGTAAATTCTGACGAATGGATTGAAGATAGTGAAAATCCAGTTACAAATAACAATTGCTTATTTTGTAATCATCATAGCAGATCATTAGTGCGTAATTTAAAACATATGACAATTGCACATTCATTTTTTATACCAGATCACGAATATTGCATGGATATTAAGGGCTTACTTGTATATCTCGGAGAAAAAATTTTTGCTGGATACATGTGCATTTGGTGTAATGATTCTGGTAAGTTCGTTTAAACTCTTATTTTTACACCTATGGAAAGATTAACAAGGTAATTATGTTTGGTTAACTAATCAACAGGAAGATCTTTTCAAAGTGCTGAGGCTGCTAGGGCTCATATGATTGATAAAGGTCATTGTAAAATGTTGCATGAAGGAAATGCATTAGCAGAATATGCAGAATTTTATGATTATTCATCCAGTTATCCTGATGCAGAAATTGGTGATCCAGAAGCTGAAGTTGAAATACCAGAATTAGATGACAGTAATTACCAATTAATATTACCATCAGGAAATGTTATTGGTCATAGATCTCTAATGAGATATTATAAGCAGAACTTAAATCCAAATAGAGCAGTTGCAGTATCAAAGAGTACAAAATTGCGTAAAATATTGTCACAATACAGAGCTTTAGGATGGCCAGAAACACAGAAAGAGGCTGCTATAAAGAAAGCTAGAGATATTAAATATATGCAAAGAATACAAGCAAAATATTCTACGCAATTGCAGTTTAAGGCAAATAAGTTGCAAAAACATTTTAGGCCTCAAGTGAATTTTTAAGCTTCTCTAATGTGTATAAATATTGTGCAAGACTGTATTCTTTTTTAAATTAAGTCTTAAATTAAGCCGTTCTTAATTAAGTTTAATGTAAAATTTTATTATTAGACATGCTTCTTGCATTACATATTGATACATTTATTACTAAAATAAAACCGTACTTAATCCAAATTTATATTCAATATTATTTAAAATTATTTGAAAGGACATATTGAGCATTATTGATTATGAACTATAATATTTATTTGGCGGATACTTTTACAAAATAATTTATAATATATTTTCGTAACATGTAACATCAACAAAAATAATACTCCTTATAACTTTATTCTATACTTGTGTGGACCCATCCAGTGATTCCTGTAATCATCAGCTTCGATAAATTTTTATACACGAATCAAGACTGTATTCTTTTTTAAATTAAGTCTTAAATTAAGCCGTTCTTAATTAAGTTTAATGTAAAATTTTATTATTAGACATGCTTCTTGCATTACATATTGATACATTTATTACTAAAATAAAACCGTACTTAATCCAAATTTATATTCAATATTATTTAAAATTATTTGAAAGGACATATTGAGCATTATTGATTATGAACTATAATATTTATTTGGCGGATACTTTTACAAAATAATTTATAATATATTTTCGTAACATGTAACATCAACAAAAATAATACTCCTTATAACTTTATTCTATACTTGTGTGGACCCATCCAGTGATTCCTGTAATCATCAGCTTCGATAAATTTTTATACACGAATCAAGAAATATTCCGTATCTTTTCTCGTCATAGCTGTAAAAAAACGCGCACACAATCGAGAATTTCGAACATTTCTATACTGCATACATATAAGATATACTTTCATTTTTTACCACCAGCTGTAGAATTGTACAGGACAAATGTTAACAAATGTTAAACTATCACATTTGATATACGATTCTTATTACGATATTATCGTTGATATATACCGACACTTCTTTGTGAGAATACACGAATTTCTTTTCGTACATCTTTTACTGTGCAATTCGTTTCATTCTGAATTAGCAGAATGTAAAATAAAAGTTCAATGAAGAAAATGTTAATTAGATCTTTTCGTTCTTGCATTTGTCAACTCAAATATATAATATTAACTATTTTTTTTTTTTTGTGCTTAGTAATGCCACAGCGTTCAGAACACCGACAAAGAACAGTAACCGATACCTCAAATCGTTAATACTTTCTAAGAGAGGCATACGATCTGTTCCATCTTTAGATATAAGTACTTTATAAATGCGTCTTTGAGACAAACATATATTAGAGATCTGTTATTGTCATACAACGATACACATAGTTTACACTACTGCTCTTTCGTAAAATCATTTTCTGGTTATTAAAGATTTCTCATGATTAACGTTGTATCTCGTATTTTGCTCTCTATTATATACTTTTTAATCTAACACCTTCACCATTAGCTTTAAGGCCTGATGGGGAGGAGCCGGTCTAATTGATTCATCAAGATCTCTGTACGGAATCATCGCTTCCACTTCAAAACCATGTTTGTAGCACACTTTCTGTGAATACATTCCCGTAGCATCAACTTTGACCACCTGCAGACATACAACAATATTGAACACTATATTTGCAAGGCATCTTTAATCGCACACGAACATTTACATACACTTTGTACGAAGTACACTGCGTGCAAAAATACCTCTCGAGAAAGTAAGTGCATTGCAATTTTACATCTTGGTAAACGAAAATCATCCCATGCATATTAATCGAAGAACATGCTGAAACAAAAACAAAATGTGAACTTCTTACCAAAATGACCACGCCTTCATGACAAATCGTGTTACACATACATATACATAGTATTTTTCTTTTGATAGATTTATTAATTTCGTTATTTTAAAATATTAAACTTAATAAATAATTTATTTATTTTTCATTTACATAAAAAAAGCATAAACTTTTGCAAATTATAATTCAAATTATTTGAAGGATTTGCCGTAAAATTAGTACAAGCTTCCAAGGTCAGGAATAAAGGTCACGGAGTACACAATAGTACGGCTCTAAAAAAATTTTTCACCGAACTTAAACTGCATGCTTCAATAACATCATACAGAGTTACGTATCATTTTGTGAATAAGTTACTATAATTATGACGATAAGACCGAAATATAATTTGGGATTACCTTAAAACCAGCGGATTTTGCGATTTCTATACTGTCTGCCATAAGAATGTTCGCCAGACCTCTTCCGCGGAAATTCTCATCAACACTGAGGATTCGGCATTCAAACAACTCGTCGACATTGTACTTGTAAAAAAGGTCTATTTTTTTGTTAACTTTGTAGAGAAGTCCGAAGATTATTTTGAATTTTTCGTCATTTAGTTCTGCGAGACGGCGTTCAGCTTCTTCGCGCTCCCCCTTCTTCAGAAGACCATTCAATGCCATACCAGCTATCTGATAGGACAGCACTTATGATCGACAATGAACTTAACGTTCAAGGTCCGTATATGTCACAGGAAAATATTCCCTCGTCAATGAAATATTTATAACGCAAAGTAAATCCACAAGTAATCGTTTCTTTATTATAAAAAGGAAAAGAATTCTTCTCTAATTCAGCTTACCATTCCATTTTGATCCACCAGCATTCTCGAATATCCCTGCTTTAAAGTGAGCAAGCAGTGTCTTTCCAGCTCGAATTGGCTCTCTCCTTTCTGGCATAGTCCTACCGCGTGATTCAAGGGTTCGTCGGAGAAGAAATTCCATTTTAAGTGGTTAATTGCATCGTCAAAACGATTTTCTGGAACATCCACGACCTTTAAATCATCCGACGACATCTTTGGGGTGGTCACGGCACAAATTTTCCGCGCACTGAAAGGATTTTCCACGCGCGCACTACCCTTAGTAGGGAGAGTTGACTCATATGGGAAAAGGTCCATATATTGATTGACCCAGTTCAAGAAATTTACTGGCTATAATGATTATGCATCCTTCTTAATTATTCCTAATACAAATTCACGCTCTTCATACCTACAATGATAATGAAGCTTTTGAATAGAGAATAAGAAAATTATGAATGTATTGGATTTATAATCTTGGGTATCAATTGAATACACTATTAGAAAGAAGTATGTATTTATTGTATGATGAAAATCAGTGATGTACTTATAAATGAAATGGATAGATAAATATTTTTTAATGTCATAGAGGAGATAAAGTAATGGCAAATAAAAAATATAAACATAGAAATAAATATATATATGTACATATTTATTTTTCATAAATTTTTGATAGTTGACTCTATAACATTCTATAACGTTGTCACTGCGAATTATTTGCATAAAATTATATCCATATATCAATATAACAATGTGAATATATTGAATGCGCCAAAAACAGTTTCAACAAATGTCAAATCAATGATACGCAGCTGACGAAGAGCATTATTAACATCTTTCAATTATACGATGATAGATTACAATATAATATACTATCTGATATACTATATTACATTGTAATTAAAAAATGTTAGTAATACTGTAAAATTATTATCTGCTTGTATAGATGCTTAATAATACAATCTTTTGTGTAATGTAGCTGAGTACTGTGAAATTAGTATTGTCCAAAGATTTTTGTGGAAGGACTAAATCTATTCTCATACTTCATTGGATTCATTCTTTAACCGCATTCATTCAGAATTAAAACATATTTTTTAATACTCCAGAGTGTGAAAACAATTTATGTACAGTGTTTAAAATAATATATCATCATCTCCTTCATCGAGCATATTTGCAGCTTCTACATCTCTGCCAGAAGCAATCATCTCTGCTCTAGCTGCTTCAAGCTGTGAAACAATTTAAACATTGCAAACAATATTTAATTAAAAAAAGATATAAAAAATGGAATTATCTTTTACCTTAGCTTTTGCTTGTTTCTTTTTATCCTGAATCTTTTTTAATCGGTAGAACTCTTCTCTTTCCAATTCATCCAGCTCAGAAATTATATAAGCAAGAGTTTTCTCAATTCTTGGAATGATAACATGTTCAATGGCATTTACACGGCGATTTGTAATTTTAATAACTTCATCCAAGGTCACAAAACTTGTTTGTAAAGATGCTAATTCCACTAATAATTTAATTGCTCTTTGATAATTCTTTTTCAATTTTGCTAATTGTTGGCCACCTCTTGCCAAACCTGCTAACTCATATGTATCCGTACCATCTTGATAAGATTCAAATACTGGAAGATTAACACCAGCAACGTTATCTTTCTTAGATCTAATTTTAATTTGTGCTTTTGTTACATTCTGAAGAACCACTTGATTGAAATCTCCAGTTGCAAATTTAGCTTCAGCCAGTGAAAATGCTGCCTCCTTCATTACTTCGCCCATAAGAGTTTTTGTCTAAATAGAAAGATATATAAAAAATTATGGAAAAATGAAAATTATCCACACAAATACAAGTATTTTTGTATACCTCAATAATTTTACCCAGAATTAATCTAAAACGCATTTGTAATGCATCTGCTTTCTTTTTCAACAAACCATGACCTTTTTGCGCTCCTTGTAAACGGGACTTCATTAACATTTGCGCTCTAAAAAAAAATAGATATAAAAAATGTAAATTATATTATTATTTCTATAAACATTATTAATTAAATGAAAAAAGTACAATATGCACACTTGATGTCCTTGTACGTACAACAATGAAAGACTGCGATCATAATAATGAAATAATTATGTATCAATGATACAAATATACATTTAAAAATATAATTTAATCATTTTAAACAAATAGAAATAGGGTTACACCCATCTAATAACGAATGATAACAGTCTCAAAAAATTTCGTAATGAAGAATAGTAAAGAGGTATTAAATAAGATCTATTAAAAAATAAAATAGTATTGTATAATTTAAAAGAGAAAGACTCACCCCCGAGAAGGGAAAATTGCGAGTTTATCTTTTCCAGACATAGTTACAAGAAATATCAAGCAGACAAGAATGAAACTGATCAGCTGACTCGTGAGACCGGAAATGTCAAACTATATATATAGTTGCATGAAAATTAGCGCGTTAGCGCGTAATTTTAAAAATGGTAATAAAGTGGCGGGAAAAATATCAAATCTTTTTTATATACTGACATATATAAGACAATTGAGAAACAAAATGTCGCTATATTAACATCACTGCATGAATTTGAAAATTTACATGTGTAATTAAAACTTATAAAATCAAATTAAAATAACATCATTCAAGCAAAGAATGAAGTAGGGAGAATCGAAAACAAAATTTTTCAATGGCACACAAGTACGATACTTTCTACTCGATTGAAGAAATGAAAAATAGTTTCGTACAACAATTAATAAAAGAAAATCGTTGTTTCCGTATTAATGGCAGTAAATCAAATAACACATTCAAGATAGACTGTCAATCCACATAGCATACATAGAAGTTGCTGGTAATTTGGTGTAGTAGCCTCTGAGAGCCTCTGAGAATATTCTTATGAGAATGAATATTAATCGTCTTTAGATATAGGTCTGTATATGTTCAACATATAAACGAAACGAAAAATAAACACTAAATAGAAAATCTCTATTCCAGGCTTACTTATATATTTCTTTTGGTAAATTACACTATTAATTTTATGCAAAAGAAAATGATTCATACATCAGATATTTCGAAAGATTTTATATTAAATAAAGCAGTCCGTGATGCTACAAATATTTTATTAGGACCATACAAGCCAGTGGAACCAACTCCAGCTTACTATGAAAGTAAATTTGAAACGATCAATCACATTAAGGAGAAATGGATATCACATTCACAAGATTTTTTATTAAGAATGGCAACAATTGCTTGGGATTTTTTAAATATTTTGGATATGTTTCAAAATAATTTGGTAAACCAAAGTACAGAAGCAGATATTTCAAATAACAATATTTAAATCATAAAATGAATGTATTTATAATGCACCTTCTATTGCTAATGTGAATTGACAGCTTATGTAACAAGGGATAATTAAGTATATTACTGCAATGTAATTAATATAAGTATTTTTAATAAAAATATACAAAGCTATTTTGTACAATATTCTACAAGGACGATTGTCCAGGCTTCAACACTTGTCTTATATTCATATTTATTCTAGCTTCAGAAATGTAAGTTCTTGCTTTATTCCAATCATCTTGATTCCATACACAGTATTGATTATTGACACTTGTTTCTTTGTTATCCCATGGTGCATTGGTAGCTGGTAAAATTTTTGGTATGCCATGATATCTTAAACGGGACTTTTCAGACATTACTATTATATCTCCATTTTGTAAAAATATGGCATTGGCTGCATCGTCTTGTGTAAGTCCTCCGATTAAAAATATTGCAGTTTGACCAAAACTTATAGAGAATAAGGGTGCTTCCACATTAACTTCAGAATGATCAGTATGACCTGATAAAGTTGAATTCATTCTATAATAATTAATAATTGCTGCTTCAGCTTTAAAATCCTTAAAACCTAATGTTTGTGCTAAAAATGAAGTCAGCAAAGACAACTCAATAGGCATTTTTGTCTTGGATGATTCAGAATATAATTTTGTATTCCAATTGTGATGATAACCAAATGTTGCCCATCTTAATTTTGATAATAATTCTTTACCTTTATTAGAGTTTCTGTAATTAATGTAATAAATATATATGCTGTAAATATGTCTCTTTTTAGATTATTATGCTGTATCTTACCTAAAACATTTATCCCACCAATCTTCGTCATCATTTAAAAGATTATGAGCATCTAAGTTTAATTTATGTGGCTTTCTTGAGTACTCTTTTAAGCATTTTATAATCCAATATCGTTGTCCGTATATTGTAAATGGATTTTTTATGAAAATAAGACCTGGAATATTTCGAAATTCGAAGACTTTCCAGTCTCCCACTGGTCTTAAACCTAATTCAAGTTCACATTGTTCATCGAGTAACTTCCCTCTAAAATCAATAACCTGAAAAGCATTTATATACAGAATTTATATACATAAAGTACGATGATTTTCGCAATTTATTACGTACTTTGTTATAATCAGGCTTATCTAAATCAATTACATCTTTCAAATCGGGACAAGGGTTTCGACTCTTATAATATTTAAAGCTATCTTTGAACATTACATTGAATCATGAGCGCTGCCATGTTTGTTAATTTGCACATGCACCGTTGAGCGGCGCTGCATTGTTTGTTACTTGGATCTGTGCAATTTGAAAGTAGATTTTAACGCAGATTCCTGAGCGAGATACTATTAAATACTTCAGATGTTTGAATAAGAATGTCATTTTGACCCGGTTCGCAATGATGACAATTGAAAGTATAGATTCTCCTACTCTAAATCATCCGGCTGCAACTTTTTCTCAATGTCCATCAAAAAAAAAAAAGAAAAAATTTTCATTGCGACGCATCTCGTATCACAACTAAGTAATTAAAGATGAATTTACGATGTGACATGTGACTAAGTACCACGCAGAAACGATCGATGAGTAGACACGTGGACAGCACATTCTGCATTACGATTATTTGACTCGTTTAGCATTATAATAGCATCATTGTGAACATTAATAGTCAGATACATATCGAAAAAGTCTGAGCTCCAAGCAATTTTTTTCTTACCATGCCCAACCCCGTCCTCCTATCTGTGTACTCACACGTTAATGGACTGTGACTAATTTTGAAGCGTAATTTTCGCATAATAATACTGCCGGGAAATCTATGATTTCATAGAGGCGAAGAGAGGCACGACAACCGACTTCAAGGCTTTTCGAAAGCTTCGTGCAAATTAATAGTGCGCGCCGCGTTAATAATCGTCCATTTCCATCGCTCCTATTCTCCATAAATTCCACCCACTCACCTAGCCCGGTTCGCGAATGATTGTTCACCTGTACTTCGAAGAATACGAACGAACCTTGTTCCAGTTAATAAACTGGATCTTGAGTTCAACCACTTCACCGATCCTGTTGGATCATACGTCTATTTAACATATTGACTACTATGGGGGTCACCGGTGAATTGCTATTGACTGCATGGGGGTCACCGGTAATTAATTATTATCTGCTGGAATTAATTATTATCAGATCTTTCAGAGTGTAATTAAAATAACCAATTCGTTACTTCTTTTCATAGAAATTTTATATGTTTTCTGCCATGTGCTATAAAATATTGTAATTATTTTAGAAGATATTATATTTCATTTTGAATTCTTTAGTACAAGTTCAGGGAAGGAAAGAGGGACTTATAATGTTAAAATAAGTAATATTTTTATCGTTAAGTTGACGACGTAAAATACTAGATACAAAATAAAACACTCAAACTTTATTCTTTCAGTAATACATGTTACACATTAAAACGTACAAAATTCGATCAGCGACCAATGATTTAATAATTAAGTAATTTTAAATCACCATGTATTGTGTTACAATTGTTTTATGTCATATTATAATTATTAAGCCAAAATAACATTTACAACGAGGGAGTGTACAAGAAGAAAGCATCCAACATCTCCCGTAATATGATCATAAGTGAATAATGTTGAAAGTAAAGATAAAAATGAACGGAAAGAATTGACATAGGTGGAACAGCAACACGCGGGCTCGAATATACCGGCGCATTAAGAGAGCGCGTATTCTCTGACAGTTTCATGTCAACAAATGTCTTGCCCGCGAGTCGCGCCCAGCCATAAGCCAGGTCTGCACCAAGCAATCGCGATATATTCGCGGTGTAATCAGCCAATCACGCGTTCCTGTCGCGTCACTATCGACCAATCGCGTATGTTTCTCGTGACGACAGTTGCTAAATATAGCTCTTATATATCTAGGCCGCTCGCAACCGCGAATTATCCACAGTCGTGCGTCGGCAGCCGCCGGAGAAGGACGGTGTGGGGCGTATCGGGGCGCTGTGTTGTCGTTCGCACTGAAAAAGGTAGGACCCGTACACGCACCTAAAACAAACCGTCTTCTCTGCACGTGATAAAGCTCTTTGTAGGTCGAGTCGCATACGGCTATTCTTGTAATATAGTTCAAGGAATGCAATAAGGTGTATCGAGGTTGCGGTAGTAATTTCATTAGGCCTCCTTCGTAGATTAGATTGTCAACCGCATTTTCAAACCACGGGTACAGTTTACGTTGCAATGTTTGTGACGTTTATTTATCGATTAATCTAAATTCGTTGGAGATTTTTTTTTTTATAAAACCGGGTGTTTGGAAGAAATTGGACATATTTAAAAGATTATCAATGGATTCCTTTATCACTGAAATTTGGGTAGGGATGTTGGGAAGCAGATAAATGTCAACATTATCAGTGACAGTCTCAGTAACATTCGTAGAGAAATACGACAAAAATCGAATTCGCAAGTAGCCAAGGTCGTGCGACTACGACGAACGGAGCTTTATTATGAACATGTATTATTACGACAAGAATCGAGGGAAGAATATATTGAATGTAACATTAATATTTTTTAAGAATATTTCCCTGCCTCGATTCTTGTCGTATCTTTTTTACCATATATATTTATCAATAATAACACTAAACTCTTAAAAAGCGTTCATAAAATCTTACGAACAACTGTTCTGGTAACTTCTTTCTTTCCAAATTCAATTCGAACGATTGTTCTGGTAACTTTTCTCTGTCCAAATTCAATTCGAACGATTCAAATGAAATAATCGCGGTAACGTTCGTGCATCGCGTTTCCATGGATATGAAGTTGGCTGTAAAAAGTCAATTATCGTTTACCGCGTCCACTCGATACAAATTGTTCGTAAGCTTTACTATATTCGCGCACTAGAACGATTTATCACGATATAGTGAATTCGTTTCGAGAATTTCTCAATTCGATATGGGCTTATGACACCTGAGGATGCACTCGTAATAATGCATGAATAGTGTCACGGAGAACATCTGGTGTAGTGGGGAATCTTAAATATAGCAAAACAGAACATTGGCAACATTGTCACGAATCTAGTAAATACTATATAGTATCCTCACACGGTACCAATGCTCCTGATTGCACAATACCTTACTTCGAACTAAATATTCAAAGTATATACACTCCTTTCATTCTCCTATATTTTTTTAATTTTTTTTTATTATTATTATTTTTTAATAGATTCGTAAAGCGGTAAGAAAGAATTTTGGAGGTTTTGCGATCGTTCGAGCATCTCTTTTATATATATGCGAATGAAAGTATAATGTTTATATTGGCATGTAAAGTGGAGTTAAGTAGGATCACAAATAACCGTAATCATAAAACCTCATATTACGACGGCTTAAATGGGCAGTGCGTTTATTATGAACGACTTAGTGTTTACTGGAAATGTATGCTCATAAGGGAACATATTTATCTCTGGAAAAACAAACTTCGCGAATACCTTAATCGAAATGTTTTCTATTTCTTTTTGTTTTTATAAATATTCTATAAATATTCTACGTGTACATACATAAAATATTTTATTATTTCACACATTTTTACTGATTTTAAATATTATAAATCAAACATTGAAAATGAATTTACAATTGTTCGTATTATGATGGTAATATGAATGAATCTTTTCACTTTAATTATTTAATTTGCATTTCTATATTAATAAATAATTACCAACCCTTATATTATTATTAAAAAATTAAATAAACAAGTGTTTATGATAAATTTTAAAAATATTAACAAACATTGAAAGAGATGTTCTACAAATTTCCCAACGAATATATGTAGATCTACTCTTATATAAACAATTTGTTATATAATATTTAAGTAGCAAACAGAGTATACGTGTTGTAACAAATATCTATTGTTGTAGAATATATTCAATTGAAGTACAATGCCGCGTGCAATTATCTATATTTAAATGCAACTACGGAATAGAATAGTGAATGAAAATATTGCAAGTTAGGTATCCAATGTGGAGATATGCGTTCTCCAAGTCACGAATCTTAAATGTTTACTTTCATTTGTAAACTTCCTCCACGACTGATAACCATTATACAACAATAATCTTATCTTTGTATTCACTATGCAAACGAGCCAATCTTCCTAAGGTGCAATCTGTTGGGCGTGATAATTAGCCGCAAGGTTAGACAACTTAATGGCCATAAGTTTTCGCACATTGTTATATATTTCATCAATTTTTATTTCTACTAAATTTTTTTTTACGAAACACGGTTCGTGAGAATTCAAATATAAAAATTCCCATTGGAATTTCTTTCTTTGGTATTTTCACATGACTTTGTGCATTAGCAACTTGCAATGAGAATTCGTCACGTGTTACATTGTTAAAAACCGAAAATGAAATATTCTTTATCTTCTTCTTTTAGTTTTCAAATATTATATCATCTTTTTTAGTTCAATTCCTGAGTTCTTGAAATATTAAAATATATATGTATATAATATTTTATATACATATATATCTATATATAATATATGTTTTGTAATATTTCAAAAACTGTAACATATAAATATATTTATCATATTATTAGTAATTGAGAAACATTAGAAGAATTTAATACGAAAATCCATTAAATGAATCTATATGGATTATTTAGAGTCAAGGAAAATTAAAACAACGACGTTTTCCTTGTTAAACGAATATATCTACATAATGTATACTAATTTTGTAGTTTTATGGTTTTACATCTTGTAATAATAGTTTATGTTTAACTTTTTATGAGCAAACACGCTTTTTTATATCTCGTAAGAAACCTAGCTTAACTGAAATCTAAATGTAGTCATAATTTGATTCAAAGTCGAAGCTAGAACTGTAATGTAAATTCAAATGTAAACTTATTTGATATTATAATTCACTACTTTGTAAAAGTATTTTTCTATATTGAATTCAATGTCATTCAAACAGAAGAAATCTTCTGTATTTTTTAAATTAAATACTAATAGTAATAAATATAGAGATCGATTAAAGACATTTTACATACATATGTAGAGAGATTCTAAAGCAAATTTAGTTATCATCGATGCTATAATAAATCTTAATAAAAAGTTAGCGGTCGTCCATATGTCAATTGTACTCAGAAAAATATTCAGATTTTTTATTTCAATAAAAATTTAGACAGCTACGTTATTTTTGAAGCCATTAATTTTAGCGAACATTAAATTAAAAAAGAAGATAAAAAGATTCTGTTTTCTGAGTAACATTTAAATTCGAACACCTACGTTCTTTTCGAAAATTCAGAATATGAAATAGCTAATAGCTAAGTTCATTCAAAAGAATGGAAATATTCACTAAATCAGCTAAAAAAGTCACTATGCTTCTGTAAGCGAAACTATACTTTTGTAATACAATATATGTATATATACTTACAATATATGTATATATTAAGTTAACAGAGAAGTAATTTAGCTTTTTTATTATACTAAGAAGACATACATAATTTTAAACAAAATTTTGTATAGATTAAAATTTTAATAGACTAATACTCCTGGTCAATTTTGCTTCATCTTGAAGATCAAAAGATGTAAATGCAGTTATTTAAAATTCTTTCTCATCTGTCTCTTCCCCGAATAATAAATTACTTGAATTACTGAATAACAAATTATTTTTAAATAGAAGATACATTAATTATCTAAAACCAGAAAGAAATTTTCAAAACCATTATATTATTTCATAGGTAAAACAAATCTCTATCCAAGTTCCATTTCTTTAACTTTATTTATAAAAATATAAATTCGCATAAATATTCACAGTTTAATAGTGACATTATAGTAAATTGACTCGTACGTTGATTCACACTATTGATTCACGCAAATAATGTGATTCATACATGGGTATCTATGAAATCAACGTTACTTTTTGCACTAACTCAATAAATATCTATACTATGTCTATAGCACAGTATGTTGAAGCTGTTACAGTTTTAGTTAAAAAAACGAATTTCCCAAGAGATAAGCATGCATTATCGCGAAATTTTTAAGTAATTACTATGTCTGATAGATCGACAAAGATTCCTCGGTCCTTCGCGACCATGACCTTACTGACATTTAATTCTTAGATCGTTATCGACATCGAAACCCACTCATACAGGATTTGCACGTGTTGCAGGTAGCGTGCGCATTTCCATAATGCCGAAGGCCATCAAATATTGTACCTAGGCGAATACCTTAACTTCACTCGTCTGTTTATCTCGCTTTCATCGAGCATTTCTTTCTCCCTTCAGCTCCATTGGTTTTAAATTTAGTTCTTGTTGCACGCGTATTTGCCATTTGTATTGATTTTCTCATATCTTTGATCACTGTCTGAGATTTGTCGAGGAACGTGAATCGAAATTCTCCTAGATTGATTTACAGCTTCACTTCAGAATTCTCAAGTATGGTCCTCGTTTAGGAATCGCGGAAAGAAAGTTTAAATTTTACGACACTGATCGTTCTCAGATTATTTATTTTTTAATAAAGGATATATATTTATATATATATTTTTTTATAGATATGATCAATTATCCGAAAATGTAAAAGAAGTTCTGAGATATTTATGAACATCTCTATTCTATTGTCTACTATAATAATATTATTATTTTTTCGATGCAAATGAAAATTGATCAAGACTAAAATTTATCTTTGATATTTGATCGATTGATTTTATTTCTATAAAATATTAAATCTATTACGGAGAAACAATATTGTCTGAAATTATATAACAATTTCGGGAAAAAGTTGTCAGGCAACAAGCGAATACCTATTGTTCGTTGTCATCAGATTCTAAGATAAAGATCTATAGAACTTCATGCGACTGTACGCGCATAAGAAAATTAAAAAAAGAAACAGACATCTCACAAAGGGAAACTTGACAAAAGAATTCACAGAAAGATTATCTTTTTTGTGCAAGAGAGTTTTTACTGTAATTTAATATCTCATACGTATGTTACTTTACAAAAATTCCACGAAATAGTAACAACAATTGTACAATAATTCACACTTTCAATCG